AACAGCACAGACACAGATGCAGCGTGAAGAGTCAGCCACTCCACTCTCATTGGTAAAAATCCCTGAGACCTTGTTAGAGACTAATAACTCAAAAACCTCTTCATAGTTCCACTATCTCTACATTCCAAGATTAATAAACCTATCACTGTACTACCAGCCCACCAACTTAAAAGTTAAGAGTCTGTTCAGAAAGCAGTTAACAACCTCACTGTTTAAAATTGATCAGGAACAAAAAAAAAGTGTTTACCAGAGAAAAATATCTAAGTATCAAAAAATCTACACATTGTGTTGGGGGGGGATGGTAAAATATAAAATGTATTTTTATAAAAATACATATGGAACATTGATCCTTATGTAATAAGAAAAGACTGACTCAGCAAAGTAGACTTAAAATGTATACATAGGTATTTATGTTGGATTGATGTGGGTGGATACATACACACACTCATAAGCATACATACAAATTAATGTGTAATAGACACAAGGATGGCAAATGCTTCGCGCCTCTTACCAACACCTGCTTCGACATTCTGGGTATCTTACTAGACTACAGTTTCCAGCCTTCTCCCTTCTTCTATTGTACTTAAGGCTACTATGTTACAAGTTCCAGTCAACTGAACACAAACAGAAGTGATTGTTCCTGTTATTAGTTTTCTGCTGTTGCATAACAGATTATCACTAATTTAGCAGTTTAAAACAATAACCATTCATTCACTCACAGTTCTATAGGTCAGAAGTTTGGGACAGCTTGACTGGATTCTCCGTTTAGAATCCACAAGGCAAATATGAAGATGGGAGCTAGAGTGGGCTCCTGGCTGCGGGCTCTGAGGAAGCATTCCTTTCCTTTCAGGCTGTTGACAGAATCCAGTTCTTTAAGGCTGTCTAGGATCTCTGTTTCCTAGCTGGCTCTCATCCAAGAGCTATCCTCTGCTCCTCGAGGCTGAGTGCATTCCTTCCCACATGGACCCTCCATCTTACACAGCAAGGGCATGTGCAGTCCTTCTCATACTTCCAGTCTCTTTGACTTGCCCTTCTGCTGCAGCCAGAGAGAATGCTCTCCCTTTAAGGAATTCACGTGATTAGAGTAAGCCCACCATAAAATTCTCCCTTTCGCCATAAAAAGTAACAATCTTGGGAGCGACATCTTTTCACAGTGACAGGCTGACCGTACTCAAAGGGGAGGGGAGTACACATGAAGGAGGGTCATTGAGGGTCTTAACATTCTGCCTACAACAATCCTATTCCAGGCATGGCCCTTAAAAATCTCCCATTCTTGTTCCAGTATACTCATTCCCTTTGGCAAACCTAAAAGTCATGTGTGGAACTCTCGTCATCCTGGATCCCTGAAGCAGATAGGAAATGAGAAAGAGATAAGCTTTGAGCAACAAAGATCCATTAAGACTTTGGTTAAACCAAAGCATTAGGCCTTCTTTCAAAGTTCATATTAACACAACTAAATGAACTGGCTGAAAATTAGATCTAGAAAAGAACTTCCATTGTGGTAACTGGGAAATGGAACTGATGAGAAGAAAACAGATCAGAAGTGTTCTAGGCTTTTAAAGGAATTTTATTGCCCAAACCATCCATGTTCTGGAACATCATATTCTGAATTTAGAAGTTGTACTAAATGTAAAATCTTCATAAATAGTAAAGTTACTCCTGAAGCATCAGACCTAGCTGACGTTAGTATCCTTGGAACATGCTTCGCTGGCAGTCTGCAAAAACATGTGACGGACTCACAATCATGGCATCTCCATAGGTCCAGCTGCAGCACTCTTTTTAGTCTTTTTTATCCATTACAGGCCACATGAATCACCCCAACATTTGGGCTTCAAAATGATTAGAAAAATAAAGAAAATCTAAGCTCCCGAGGTGAGAAAAGTTGTACAGTTAAATATTAAAACTTCATGTTTTGTCTTCTGCTGCCTTAAAATGCCTCACACAGGCTGTAAGCAGCCACCCCGGGGGACAACTACACCAGTGTGATAAGGTTGACCCATCCCCTCTCTCCCTGCCCCTGACCATGACCTAACAACATTCACAAAGCACCAAGGAAAGTCCCCCTCGCCTTCGCTTGTGTCCTCCACCTGGACCTCCCATGAAGGCACTTGCCTAGGGTCTGGGACTCGCTCGGCTCCCCGCCTGCCTGGCTGAGCTTGCTCCCTCCGCCCTCCTCCCATGCGGCCGCCCTCTCATTGTCAACTGACTCTGTCTCTGTAGCACCTGTGAGTATAACAAACATTGTTTTCTTGCACTTTTCTGGGTAAATTACATCTTTATGAGCAATGAAGTAATAAAGTCTTTCTTAAACGAAAAAGATGATCAATTTTTGCTATTTTAATATATTCTTCCACTCTGGTAAAATGTATTTGGCAAAATTTTGCACCACTAAATAGCTAAGACCCATATTGAAAATAATTGCCAGCAAGAAGGTAGAAATAGTCAGTTCTAAACCAAGAGAATAGTTGTGACACATGTAATCAGAGATTTTAAATCAACGGGCAAACAGTAAAGGTATATTGCTTTATTCATACAAATATCATCCCTTCCTCACATAAGCAAAAACTCAATTTCATAAAAATAGGAGAAACATTTGCCTGAAGAGGGATCTTCCACTTAGAAACACAGGCTGCCTAATCCAGCCTGTATTTTAAAAGAGAAATAATCCTAGGCCTAAAGCTTCCTCTGTAGATAAGAGCAGGTTCATGAGCTCTGGGGGTAGGCGGGGTGGGGAATGGAGAATATGGCTTTTTCCCCTATTATCTCTGACATGTGCAAACATTAGTATTGGCTTTACACACCCTTCAAAATACATATACATGCACAGGAAGGATAACCTTTGCCTTGGGCTTTCTCAGATTGTGCTGCCTTAAACAATGGGTAAGAGATTGTGTGTTGCTTCACTTTTAAAATAAAAGGCTTTTCAGTAAAAAGAGGCAAATGATGCAATCTGGATTCAGTGTGATAAATACTAATCTGATCACAAGCAGACCTCCTCCAAGGATCTAAGAAGTCTTTTCATATTAGAATTTCAATCTTGCATTCAGAACATTCAGAGCTATATAGAAATAACTTCAGGATGGCTGAAATTGAGACTTTTGGATATTTTTGTTAAGGTAGAAAAGCTAAAAATTCTAGCTTCTATAATTTCCTCATGCTTATTATTACCAATATAAGGCACAGTATTACATCCTAATAAAATTACCCTTAATGTTAATAGCAGTTATTGAGCTCCTTCTGTGTGTGTTCTACAAGCTCATTTGTGTTCACATCAATTCTAAGAAATGGATACTATCTTCATTTTAGCAAGGACAGATTCAGAAGTTAAACGACACTCAAGGTCACAGACAACAGAGGAGGGGGCCAAGTCTTAACCTTTCCCGCTCTGAAGTGACGGTTCCTAATTGCCTTTTAGGGCACCAAGATTGGCAAAGGAAGTCTTCAGAATCAAAGTAGGAAAAGGATGTGATGTTGGCCAGTTTGGTGCCAAGGTCTGCTTTAGAGAAGTGGTAAGTACCTGAAATAAACCATGTTAGTGACGTCAAAGAAGACCTGCCTGAGACCCTGCCAGCAGCAAGTCTGCTGGTTCCATAAATCTAAAGGAATCTGAAATACACTTATGGGAGGCATTCCAAATTACACCAACAACACACTTGTATTCACAAACATTTCTGGCAGAGAGGTCTCAGAAAGACCCAATTTGAAAAGCAAAACTGATTACACTGAAGGGCATTTTTACTAAAATGGCCTTAGTTCCTCTGATCTCCTAAACTGACCAATATAACCAGTTCTAGACGGGCAAGGGCATTGTGACAGAGGTGGCACGTGGGTCTGCTCAAGACGAATTTCATCCGGCATCTGTCGACCTAACTTAACCAAGGTTCTGTAAAACACAACCCTCATCTTTTCTGGATGTGGTTTTTAACAAGACTGGTACTGTAGCAGCCTCGGGGGTGGGGGAGGACTCATTACTTTTGAGGAATTATCAGAAAGCTCATTACTAATTAAGGCTAATCTATGAAAAAATATTTAAGGCTAAATTATGAGAACTATTTAAAGAAATCAGCAAAGCCCTTAGCTAAAGATTCCTTAAACTAGAACTGTTTCAGATGGATTTAAAAAAAATAGTACTCATACTCATTATATAAGATGTAGGTCACATTTTAAGTATTCACTTATTTTTTCCTATATAAAATCCTCCAACCAAGCCCACTGAGATTTAAACTACTAAAATATGGATAAGTTTTATTTTCACAGCTTATTAACCTCATAGAGCTGTGACAGTCACATCCAAGATGTAAAAGGCTCAGTAAAAAAAAAAAAAAAAAAAAAAATTTAAATATATGATGATTTGGTTATGTTAAGGCTGCAGCACCCTTGGAAAAATTTTAAAGACGTGCTCACTTCTGGTCAAGACTTGGCCTCCAAGGAGTTTGACGACCAAGTTCCCCAAGGAAAAGTTAATGCTTGAGCTTTCCAGAAAGACGCCCCATCCTCCAGTTCCTCTGAGTCTGCGGGTGACGGAGGAAGGGGTGATTCAGAGACTCCGGGAAAAAGCACAGACCGCGGACATCCCCGCAGCCACCCTCAGTGTGGGCCACCGTTCGTGCCAGCACATCCCGGGACAGCCGGGTGCACCAACACCGCAAGGTCACAGGGGAAAGAGGCGACTTTACATAATCTCCCGCCGCGCAGCCCAGGCACCTGTGAGCCTCGGCGACGGTGCAGCCCCAGTCCCCTCCCTGTCGCGCCCGCACTCGGCGGTGCGGGGGCGGCGCGCGGAGCGGCGCGCGGGGCGGCGAGGCGGGACACTGGGCACCCACTGGCGCCTGGGGAGCCGCACGGAGCTCAGGGAGGAGAATCGAGGGCGGGCTCCCCGTCCCGAGATGCCCCGGCGGGCGGGGCGGAGCGGGCCGGGGTCCCCAAGCTCCCGGTCGACTGCAAGCTCCGAGGGCACCCCTCGCAGCTCCGCCCGGGACCGCACCTGTCACGCGCCTTACCTGAGTGGCTTTATGAAACTGCTTCTTTAGCCCGGCCACCGACATGGTGCTGCAGAACGCGCCGACGCGGGCGGCTACGGGCGCTGAAAGCAGCAGCCGGCGGAGCGAAGCAGGAAGGCCGAGCCGGGCAGCTAGCTCGCCGGGCCGCCGCCAGTCGTGCGGCCGCCGAGGCAGTGGGCGCTGGGACGCGGGCGGCACGGGACGCGGGTTCTTGCGGATACACACCCTGACGTCAAAGCTGGGTGATGCGGCCTCTTAAAGGGGACGCGGGAAGCCCCGCCCCACGCGGCCCCGCCTCCGGCGCGGGGCTGGCGGACAGGTGCTGCGGCACCAGCTACCTGCGCGCGGGCATCCCACGCGCGGACCTCGCTCCTCGGGCCTGCTGCCTGATTAGAGGGCCCTGGGCGTTCTCCCGACCCCGGAACGTCGTTCGGACCCCGCCAACTGTGGACCGGTCCTTGCAGCTTGATAGCCCAGGCACCGGGCACGACTCAGGTGATTTGCTTGGCTTCCAGGTAGCCGCAGCGGAGCTGCTTGCCCTTTGAGTCTGGCCTGTCTGCAGCCTAGGAAGGAGGAGTGGCGTTCTATCTGGAGTAATAAATAAGTTATGACTCCTTGTCTGCCTTGCCCCCGCTTGGCTGGGCACTGAAAACGTTTCTCTGCCCTGTTTTCAATATCCCTTAAACCTACATAACATTAGGAAAAACCACCAACCGCTTACTGTTTATTTTGGTCTGGTGCAACTTAATAATTTAAAAAGAACCAATTTTTTTTTTAATTCATAAAGTTAGTCAGGTAAATACAATAAAATTGAAGTGGGTTATTACTTACAGTAATAGTATTTAATCCTCTGTTTACAGATATGAAAAAGCCCGAACTGTGAACTGGGCATTCAGTTATGGTAGTGGATTTCGGATTTTCAATCTAAAATAAGCATTCTATAATGTGAAACCGCATGATACTTAGTTATACAAATACCTAATATGCGACAATGTATGTATGGCTGTGCTAAAGTGAAACTCTGATAGAATTAGATTAATTGGTAGCAAACAGCACTAGATGTCTTCTAATTTCTGGTAATTAGCCACTTCCTATGGTTTTTCAAGAGCTGAGGAGTGCATAGGAAAGAACTCGAATGCAGTCCCCACCTAGGGACCAAAGTTAGGAGAAGAAGAAGACAGAGTGAGAGAAGCCAGGATGAGAGACATTGCCAAGGGTGAATAAGAACAGCAGGGCAGGATGGAGTACTAAAATCCCCTTTCATTACCTCCACAACCCCTGCTGTTCGGACAGAGCCACAGACCTCACCTCCACCCCTCTAGCCAGGCTGCTTGGACACAGGGTGAACATTTGATACAAGGGGATCCTGTCGGTAAGGTGGGCTTACCAATCAGAACCTTGATAATGTGAAGTGAAACATGTAAAAGCAGTCAAGCAGATGGTGGATAACAAAGCAATAAGAGCGCATGGACTTGTGACCCAGTCTATAGAGAGAATCAGGGGAAAGGAGTAAGCCTCCTATGTACCTTCTTCGTACATACATAGTAGTTCAGCACTTTGCAAACATCTTGTGGTTAAGTGGGGGCACAGTGACAATTTTTCACTAGTGGGTTAGAAAGGAAAGTGATTGTGACTTCTTGGCCGAGAATTTAACTGTTGGTATGAGATGCTACCAAGCTCTTTTTCCTTGGTGACAGTATTCTAAATAGTGCTCTATCAACCAGAATCCAGAGTGAGGGCCAAGCACAGCAAAGTCACCAACTGATGTTCAACAGACATTTAGCATGAGTGAGAAATAAATCTGAGCCATTTTAATTCACTGAGTCTGGAATTGTTACTGTGGCAAAACTAATCTCTCCTGACTGCTGCACTGAGAGGACATGCCTGCCCATTTCCCAGATGTCCCAATGTCCCAGAGGAAGGGACATTTTCCAGTTCCTGCCAAGCCCACATGTTTTTCTTGTTGTTGCTGTTGTTGGTCATTAGATGACATTGTCTGTTTTATTCTTACAAAAAGCCTCACTGAAGTTGGGGGAGGTTTTTCTCTTTTTTGCAGCCTCCCTGAAGCAGTGGGCAGACTCAGCCCCTGGGCCTGAGAGTTAGAGGGAATGGTGGCTCCATGCACTGACCACACCCTGAACTTTTACCCTGAATTTTCCTTACCTGCTAGAGCGGGTGAAGTGCAAGCTTTGCTGATCCATTCCACAGGAATGTCAGGGCAAGGGGCACCCTGTGTCTCAGAGAAATATCAGACAGGGAAAGATGAAAGTCCTGCCAATAGATAGGTGAGTCGACTGATCTATCTGAATGTAGGACAAACCATTAAAGTCAATCTGACGGAGGCCCCATGAGGTGGTGCGCCCAGAGCACACTCATTGACCCGTAAGGGCTGCCAGCCATGGTGGTTCCCAGATTCCTGACATTAGGAATCTCTGCAAGAGTTTGGACTTGCTGCATGAATAGGTGGGGCTCTAGGCTAGAGAGGTTTGGGGGTTAGCATTGTAATGACTGCTTTTGTACTCTAACAGTTTGATGAAGCTTGTGTCTACACACACACACACACACACACACACACACGACTACTGTAAAATGCTAATAATGGTTGTGCTGCTGGAGCAGTTCTCAAAACTTCTGGGTATCAGAACCCCCTGGAGGATTTGTTAAAACACCCATTGCTGGGCCACATCCCCAGTTTCTGATTCACTAGGTCTGTGTGAGGACTGGGAATGTGCATTTCAAACCAGTCTGTAGGCGATGCTAACACTCTGGTCTGGGGACCGCACTGTGAAAAGCACTGGGCTAGTGTAGAGCTATTAGGAGTGAACTTTTTTTCTGATTCTCCAAGTTTTTTAGATGTTTTCCTCTTTTCCCATTTCTTGTATATTAGAAAAAGTATTTTATAATTAATTTTTTCTACCTGATCCCTGACCTAAACAATGGAGCATTTCACAGAAGAATGGGCTTTGGTTAAAGCTGCTATGAGAACAACTGGTCCGGGATTCATGAGCTCTGGCTTTTAACTGAAAGGTGTGAAATTGGGGACCTGAAGAGTTCCCTCAGATCTTTGAATACTTACCTGAACCCTAAATTAAATAAAAACAAGTCTCTACCTACCCCTGGTTGTTCATCCACTAACTTAGAAGGTGTATCTTGCTTTACAACAAAGGAACTTCCTTGAGAGAAAAAACTACTTGAGGACTTCAAGTCCTTTTGAAACCATGGCTAGTTCTCCCAGGTATCCTCTGGATCTCATGTAAATCATGTATTTCTACCGAAACTCCAATTTATACCTAGAAAGACCTTTGAGGTGTTACCTTTAAAAGAGATTTGTTGAGCTCCCCTTGATCTGGGCAGCAAGGGAGTCCTCAACACAATACCGGGATCCACACTCTTGTTGGGGAACAAGCAAAGCACCGTAAATTTATTAAAGTGATAGGACACACTCGAGAAGTGAAAGCAGGAGACCCTGGAGAAAAAGATACCCTGATGGAGGCTGTGTGGAAGGTTTTTATTAACCATGGACAAAGTAGGGATAGGGTGGTCCTAGGCTTCTGACACTGGTGGGGTGACTGCTGACAGGCTTGTCCTTGTTTGTCCCTATTCTCCAGATAGTGATTTTTTTCTTTTTTTGGTCCTTCTGTAATTGTCATGGTGTTGGGAGTAGGGAGTGATCCCAAAACCATCAGGCAAATTTATTATAAAATGTTATAATGGCTTGTTGGTTATTTTTAGATTAGTATGGCTGTTGAATCTGGTTGAGACTGGGTTTGGGAGTTTTTTTGTGGGGGGGGGTTTGTCTCAACTACAGGAAATTGAGAAGGAGGAAGTGGGGGAACAGGTGATCAGCGGTGGTGGGGTCTGCGATATTCCAGCCGAAACAGAATAGGGGAGGAGTAGAATTTGAGTCCTTAGTTCCATGTTCTAACTTTCCTGCATCCCTTGTTACTACCAGACATCAAGGTAGGAGGTTTGGAGGAATGGGAAGATGAGATTCCAGGATCATGGACCCCAAGGATTTTCTAGGCCAGCAATTCAGAAAACATTTCTTAGAGACAGTTTCTGTGGCTTATTACAGAAGGATGAGGGACAGATGCACCAGGCACTAAACAATTATTTTCAAACACGAGTGCCCTCTGGGGTTGCACAGGCAATATGACAGAGGCTCTGTGGAGGCATGGAGAAGCGTAATGTAGGGAAAGAGGAATCTAAGGTCAATGAGGAAGAATCATGTTTAATAAGAGGTGGTTGTAACTCAACATGTTCCCCTCCCCTCTCCTGAAATCAAGTCAGTGTAAAATGGTAAATGAACCTAGATCTGCTTGAAAAAGTTCCAATTAAATGAAACCCCTACACAGTACCACCTCATTAATTGGGTAGGAAATTCATGGTCAGCAATAATTCCATCACATCATCCATGCACTATTTCTCCTTACACTGTGACAAAGCTTCTGGCAAGCACCAGACCTCTGGTCCGCACAGTGCCCCTGCATCCCTGGCAACTTTCAGAGGGCCCCTGTCCCAAAGATGCAGCGGACAAGCAGCAGCTCTCATCTTATTGCCCTTCAGCCCCTGGCACCTCTCCTCTGGCCCACACAAGGGCAACTTGCTCCTGACTTTATGTGTAAGCTCATTAAGCACAAGAAACACAGCAAAGCAAAGGCATTCAGCCCCAACTTCTTGTTTTACAGATAAGAAAACTGAAGCAATGAGAGGGAGTGACGTACTCATTGTTACTTTTTCTACTCCTGCCTCTAGGCTCAAATCAGGGAAGAACCTCCAGTGTTAACAAATACAGATGGAGAAGATTGAGCAATTTATCACTGTCACTGAAGCTATGTTCTTGATATATTGGGTCTGAGGTTCAACAGTCTTCACTTGATAGCCAGGACTCAATAGTACAGGACTCAGTTGTTCTGGAGTGACTAGCACTTATAAGATTATGTGCCTTTGAAAGCTGCCAGCAGCCTTGGCCTCCACCCAGCATGGACAGGGCACACAAGCCCTGTCCTAAATGTGGGAAATCAAAGGAAAGACCATCTTCTCTTCTTGCTCTGGGGTTTATCACCTACCACACCAACCTACAACAGATACACAGAGAGAAACACACTCTTTTGTCTCTTAGAGGTGGAATATGTGGGTCTTTCTCTCTGTCCCCTGCCCATCTTTCCTTCTCTCCCGCATAGCCTTCTTGTCTCCAAAGGGCAGAGGCCTCTTCCTGCTAAAACTTCCTCTTCATTTAGCTAAACCCTATTAACTAACTCACAGGAGGAGGAGGAGGAGGAGGAGGAGGAGGAGGAGGAGGAGGCGGCGGCCGGCGGCAGGGGATGCGGGGCCTTACTCAAGTGGGTGACTGACATTAGACTCATATCTGGGCCCCTTTCATTATTTACACTCCAGTGTGAAATGCTTCCAACTTCCCTAGCAAAATCCTGCTATTTCCAATGCCCATCTCCAGTGCCTTTCCTTTGAAGTCTTCCCCCCGCTTTCTGACCCCATGTCCTCTCTACATCTGTGGAATCCTGAAGCCCTCATGGTGCACCTCTGCTGTGACCTTGGTCCAACAATGATTGCAGATGCTGAGATATAGCATTAGATTCTTAGCTCTTTGAGTGCAGGGTCTTATGTTTACTTTTATACCTCTTAGCAGATCATATAGACACCCGCTAGATATAGATTAACTGAAGTTTAAAAGCCTGATAACATTTTAAAAGTTACATCCAGTAGGGGGCCAGAAAGCCTGGAGTAGCTGGACCTTCCTCCATCTGAGCAGAACAGTCTGTTCAATGGCCGCTGCTGCTGCGCTCTTACTGTGCCCAAGCCCAGACGTCCAGGGTCCTCTCAACTCTGGGAGTTCCCAATGCCCTTCCCATAAATTCTCCTTTGTTCATTCAGCTAGAATTGCTTTCTCTTACTTGCAATCAACAAACTCTAAATGATATATCCCCTCCACCCTGCAATAATATTCTAATCTCAGTTCCATTTCTTGTTCAGATCTAGCAGCTCATAAACAGCAATGTAGGCAACAACCACCATTCCTGCTAAGCACTGCATTCAGCTCCCTCCTCAGACAAGGGTGGACAGATTGAATGACAAGGAATGTAGTCCTTTAGCAAGTGTCAATTGTGCCTGTAAGACATTGATGTTCTTATTTACAAATCAAACCTTTTGTTTATTTGATTAGTATGTGTCAAAATGCCAGGGCTGGAACCTCCCAAACCCCTCGGAATTGGCAGCTGAACAAATAAATAAATGTCAAGCAACTGGGCTCTGAGAAAGCAGCATCCACTGCTGGAATGAGAACAACCTTAAATGTAATCATTAGGGCATCTTCACCATTGGCTCACTTATTCTATTCCTGGATGGATGTTACCATTAGAGATTCTGAAGGCATGTTGTTAACCCTGAACGTAGGATCTGACTAGTCAGCCCATTAAAACATGTGTTAAAAAGGCCAAGTTCTATTTTAGTAGCTAGTTGGTCATGCAGAGAAAAGCTATTCCTTAGTCAAGTATACATTCTACTCTCATATCAAGTGTTCATTCTCTTAATTACAGGAAAGTCTAAGTAAGAAAGAAATGATTTAATTTAGCAAAAAAAAAACAACAAACAAAAAACCTGTCAACAACACTAAGAATGCAGAATACAACCTTCCAATATTTTGTCAGCATCAGCTTTATATGGGGAAAAAAAATGTATTCTGCTTTACTGGTTTTTAATAAGACAAAATTAAAAGTAATTATATCACTTATCTTTGGGGCCCTTTTTTCTTTGCCTTTTAAGAAATCCCTGGCTGTTTATTAAATGCGCACAACTTGTATTTTCTCTGGCCCACATACATAAAGCTGACTTCAAAGACAAGTCACATATAAAGCATTGTTTTCAAACAGCGTTTCAAACATTTAAGTTAACATTAAAACACCACCCTCTCAAGAATACAAATTTTCTCTCAAGATCTAGTCACAGAAAGTTTGCCATATAGGGAATTCCACCCTTTCAGGACTCTCTCTAAGGCTGACTTTGTTACTTTTTGCCATAGCTGTTCCCCAAGTGCCTACTAATTGGTGGTCTGCAGACCAGCAGCATCAGCATCACCTGGGAACTCACGGAATTAGTAAATTAGAGAGGTCCCGCCCCTGACATATTGGATAAGCAGCTCTGGGTGGGGCCATGCCGGCTGTGGTTTAACAAGCCCTCGCGGTGATTAGGATGCATGCTCAAGTCTCCCAGTTGCGGTGGTAGTGCTGGGGCGGGAGCGGGTGGATGTCTTGGAAATTTCCCTCAGGTCCAGCGGCTCAGGCAACCAAACATAAAATTTTTGCCTTATAGAAGCCCTTGGGATCATTACAATGAACAGGTGTTTCTGTTGTTGTTGTTGTTTTATTTTTTTAATTCTGCAAGAAAAGAAATTGAGACAAGATTATTAAGCAGTTTGGTTAGCAATTTGGACCTGAATCGGTGCCAGGGCTGCTGTAACACACGGCCACCACTCAGGTGGCCTGAAACAGCAGAATTGCATTCCCTCAGTTCTGGAGGTGAGAAGTCCAAATTCCAGGTGTCTGCAGGGCTGGTTCCTTCTGAGGCCTACGAGGGAGAATCTGTTCTGTGCCTGTCATCTAGCTTCTGGTGACAGCCAGCAATCCAGGGTGTTCCTTGGCTTCTAGATGCTGCCATCCAGTTTCTGCCTCTCTCATCCCATGGTGTTGTACAGTCTGTGTCTATCTGTGTCTGAATTTTGTTTTTACAAAGGCACCCATCATATTGGACTAAGGCCCCACTCTATTTCAGTATGACCTCATCTAAATTTGTCTAATTATATCTGCAAAGAACCTATTTCCAAATAAAGTCACATTTTGAGGTACTGGGAGGTTAGGACTTCCCAAAATCTTTTTTGGGGAACAAAATTCAACCCATAACAGGGCCTAACTCAGGAGTCCTGTTGAAAGCACTTCTTTTTTTTTTTTTTAAGTTTTAGTTACACACAGCCATGTTCATTTTTTTTTAAACTATTTTATTTATTTTTAGAGGGGAAGGGAGGGAGAAAGAGGGAGAGAAATATCAATGCGTGGTCGTCCCGCCGTGCGCCCCCCACTGGGGACCTGGCCTGCGACCCAGGCATGGGCCCTGACTGGCAATCGAACTGGCAACCCTTTGGTTCACAGGCCGGCGCCCAGTCCACTGAGCCACACCAGCCAGCACTGCAAACACTTTTTATTCCTACGCATTCTTAAGTCACCTCCCTGACATCGGGGACACAAGAACAGTCGGCAGATTTCCTCACTGAATGCCACTTGCAGAGAAAACGTAGCAGAGAAGGAGTCACGAAGAGGGATCTGTGACTCCCTTCACACAGGGTGTGTCCCCAAACCAGCGATGTGTATGTGTGGAAACTTTGGATCTTTTCTGGGACCCCTCTTCCCCATTCCATATCTGGTATATTTAAACATAAATAGTTTCCTCCTGTTTCTTGGACCCAGAGCTCGCTATTTAAAGATAGTGTAAAGAAAAGAAAAACTATCCCTCATCCACCCCACATGGCTCTGTGGTCCCTCTGGCTGTGGTCATATGACCCAACCAGCTCCAGGCAGTAGGGGACAATCACTAGGCCTGGAAAAAGAGAACTTAAGTTCGGAAGACGGTAAATTCAGAACTACTCTACGGTTTTGGCTACACTCTTTTGGGCCCACAGACCTTCCTAAAGAAAAACTGGAGATGTTTGTAATCTACTTATGTTATGAGTGATTCTGATCTTTAAGCATTAAGCAGTCAGGGGAGGATTGGGAGCGGGTGGCTGAGTATCCACCAGCTCGCGTCTCACACTCTGCCTTCCGGAAGCACTGTTAGCCTGGGTACACCTTACACTTCAGTGATTTCTGTTTTAAGAGTTTTTCTAACCAAATAGTGATTGAGCACTCAGACATAGATTTTATCGTGAAATTTCTTTAAATACAATTAAACACTGAGAGATCTACACTGGGCAATATTTAAAAAAAAGAAAGGAAGGAAGAAAGAAAAATCTCCAGTTATTTCCACGAATGCAATTAAAATGCTAAGAAGCTAATTGAAAACATCAACCCCCAAATAATTACCACTTCTAATTTTCACCATTTCATTAAACATAAAGTATCATCAAATTTTCAATTAGATTCATTGAAGCATTGATGTCTCATGTAATTACTGTGGTTTCCTATTTTGTCTCCATTTATGTAATATTTAGCATTATGTATACAACTAAATATAAACTTTTAAATTTTCTAAATCTGTTTTAATACTTTGGAAATGATTATTCTGTTTAGTTTTTGGGAGGATATGAAATATTAATTTTTCTAAAAATATTTTATAGTGATAATTTACTCAAAAAATTTCATTTTCAATCATAAACTGCTCAAGACAAATATGAGCTATTTTAACAACAATTTTCAAAGCAAAAACTAAGACTCTATAAGAAAATATACAAAGAATATGACCTCACTGAAGTTATATAAATAATTATGTATTGAAAAACTTTAGTATCACTAGAAATGGGGTTAAATAAATAATCCCAAATTCACTAAATTGGCAAAGATTTTTAATATAATATTTATTTTGATGGAAGTATTATGAATGAGTGTTCTATATAATTCCAGGCAGAGTAAAATTGGTACAATTAATAAAGCAGTTTGGCACTACACATGAACTTTAAAAAGGTACTCTTAATTCAGTAATTTTATATCTGAAAAGCACCATAATTAAATAGAAATTCAGCCAATTAGTCATCAGGGAAATGCAAATCAAAGTTATGGTGAGATCATTGTTCATACCCACTAGGATGGCTATGGTAAGAAGATAGACAGTAAGTGTTGATGTGGATGTGGAGAGCTGGAAAACCCCTCATTGCCGTTGGGACGTAAAATGGCGCAGTCACTTTGGAAAACAGTCTGGCAATTCCTGGAATGGTTAAATATAGCTACCATATAACCCAGCATTCCCAGTCCTGCTTATATACTCAAGAGAAATGAAAACATATGTTCATGCAGACTTGGAAATGAATGTTCATACAGTCATATTCAAAATATCCAAAAGAGGAAATAATCCAAATGTCCATCAACTGATAAAAGGAAAAAGTGTGGTACAGCCCTATAGTGTAATGTTATTTGGCAATAAAGGAAATTAAGTACTGATACATGGTACAACATGGATGAACCTTGTTATGCTAAACAGTGCTTCCGTAAAGATTATGCTAAATGAAATAAGGCTGTCACAAGCACTACCTATTGTATAACTCCATTTATATAAAATGTCTAGAATAGGCAAACCTATAGAGACAAAAAGTAGATCAGTGATTTCCTCAGGCTTGGAGCGAGGGCAGGATGAGGGATTGGGGCTGATGACGAAGGAGAGGGAGTTTCATTGCGGGAAAATGAAAAAGCTGTAATTGAACTGTGGTGAGGGAGGCACAGCTGGTTCTGACCCCTGGATTTGCCATTTTGTGGCTGTATAATCACCTCTGCCACTTAGAAAAATGTTCTCTGAAATCATCAGTTGCTCCCCCAAACTCCTTTCCTCCTTCCATTCTCAACTCCAAGTAAAAGGTTCCTCGACACCCAGCCTGCTGTCTCCCTGCACATGTCTCTTCCTTCTGCCCCTATTCTTTCGTCTTCCCCAGAATCCAGCACATATCGCCATGTCCATGGTCTGATTCTACAGAATCGATACCCAGGAACTGAGCCGGCACAGGCACAAGTCCCCTTTAAGAGGATGGAAAAAGAGCCAGCAATTAAAATCCCCTCTGGCTAGTCCAGTACAGGAAGGCTATAAACACACATGTAATAGTAATTTCTGTCCCACCGTCAGAGCCCAGTTTCCAAAAGAGTCCGTAGACTCATCTTGTTCTCCTGCCTGGGCTCTTCTTTGTTCCCTTCCTCTTCAGCCTGCACTTGGGTGAAATCAGTGTGCATGTGAGTGATACAAATGCTTTCCCTGATCAGCTCAACTGGGGATGAGCCCAACTTTGGAGTCCAGGAAGGCTTGATCTGCAATACTTCAGTCACTCTTGGGGTTCTTAGTATAGTCAGTGAGGAGAGAAGACAATGTCTGAGTCAAGGTCGAAACATACATTCTAAAGCAGAAGCTAGTTAAAGCCTGTCTGGTGCGACTCAGTGGATTGAGTGCTGGCCCGCGAACCAAGGGGTCACTCGTTCAGCTCCCAGTCAGGGCACAGCCTGGGTTGTGGGCCAAGTCCCCAGTAGGGGGTGCGTGAGAGGCAACCACATACTAATGCTTCTCTCCCTCTCTCCCTCCCTTCTTTTCTCTCTCTCCCTTCTCCTCTCTCTAAAAATAAATAAAATCTTTAAAAAAGAAGCTAGTTAAGAATCCGTCAATGTGAAATACTAATAGCTACCATTTGAACATTTTTCTGTGCATGACATTTTGTAGCTATGACCCCATTTCATTATGCTGTGTGGATTCTTATGCCCATAGATGGATAAGGACACTGCAATTCGTATAAACCAAGTAATTTTGCCCATAGTTACAATTTGGAAAGAAGTGGAGCAGGAGCTCAAACTTAGCTGTGTCTCTAAGGACTCTTCTCCCAGCGGCTTTGCTTCTCCTGCCCCAGAACAATGTGCCAGAACATAGGCCTGTCTTCCTGGAGAGAGAAGAGCAGTAAATGCAACTTGGAAAAAGAAATGCTTTCAGGAGCTAAACTGATGAAGTACAGGAATGACACTTTCTAGTGGTCCTTCATGATGAAGATTAGAATTTGAGGTAGATCAAGTTGGGGACAATCCCGTTTCCTTTAGGGGATTTTCACTAGGTGACAATTCTTAAAGATAGATGTGTGTGTGTATGTGAACTGCAGACCGTTGCTGATGTGGAGTAATTCATCCTCTCCATATTGATGCGATTTCTCCCCACTCAAGCTTGTCTACACCAGAGGATGAACCATGTTTAAACTTATTCTTTTACCAGCCCAAGTCCCCCAGTTATTGTAGAGGACTCTCCTGTAGGAATTTACTTTTTCCTCCTATTGATGAACATTTGGGCCACTTTCACTTGGGGACTGTTGTGAACAAGGCTGCTGAAACCATTCTTGAACGCGTCGCCTGTGGCACACTCATGCAAGTGTGCCTGATGAGTCTTTACCCAGGGATAGAATTGTCCAGTCACAGGAGGGTGTAGTTCAATTTTATTATGTAATGCCAGACAGGATGGCAAATGGGCGCGCTGATGGGCACTGTCACCAGCAATGTTTGACAGTTCTCCTTCATTCCACATCCTCACTAGAACTGGGTATTGTCAGTCTTTTGGATTAGCCATTCTGTGACAGTATCCAATGATTATAATTTGCATTTTCCTAATTATTAATGAAGTAGAGAGTATCTACTCATATTCTCATTGGCCATTGAATATTCTCTTTTGTGAAATAGCCACTTCTATATGCTGTCTTTTCCTTTCTGATTTGTAGACAGTCTCAATATATCCTGGAATCAATCCTTCTGTCAGTTGTCGGGCACAGGTGATTTTTCTCTACTCTGTTTAGTCTATTTGTCTTTGTTCAAGAAGGAGACTGGCCTTGATTTTTCTTTTTCATACTATCCTTGTCAGGTTGAGGTATTAAGATTACGCTGGTTTATTAAACCATGTTGGGTGTGTTTCCTTTTCTCTTATTCTCTGAAAGAGTTTATAATAATATTTTATTTCTTCCTGAAGTGATTGGTAAAATTCACTACAAAGGCCACCAAACCCAAAGTTTTTCTTGAGGTTTTCAATTATAGATTTACTGTTTGCCAAACTATTTCTTTTAGTACCAGATTCATTCTCCTTTTTAAGGAATTTATAGATTTCATATAAAAATTTTAAATATATTAACATTAAGTTGTTTATACTCTCATATATTTAATGTCTCTAAGTTCTATAATAATGTTGCTTTCTTCATTCCTGACATTGGTTATTTTTGCCTTCTCTTTCTTTTCCTAAAATTGACGCAGAGGGGTTTATCAGTTTTATTAGTTCCTCCAAAGAAGCAACTTTGGGTTTATTTATTTTTTATATTTTATATCTGCTTTCTATTTTATTAATTTCTGTTATGATTATTCTCTCCTTCCATTTACTTTAATTTGATTTTTTTCTACCTTTCTGAGGTGAATGGTGAGCTCATTGATTTTTGGGTATCCCTCATTGCATATAAAATTATGTTTCCCTTTAAGCATAGTTTTAGTTGTAGCCCACAGATTTTAATGTGTAACAATTTAATTATTTTGTTCAACACACTTTCTAATTTCTATTATAATTTTAGCTTTGACCCATGAGTTATTTATAAATATATTGATTAATTTTCAAATATATGGAAATTTTATAAATATCTCCTTGTAATTGATTTTTAACTTAATTCCATGGTGTGTGCCAAACATAGTCTGTTTGATTTGAATATTTTGAAATTTGTTGAGATTTGCCTCAGGTCCCAGCATATAGTCAGTTTTGTAAATGTGCTGTGTGTTTTTTAATATAATGCACATTCTGCCATTGCTGAGCACAGTACTCTATGTTGATCAGTTGTTTGATAATTATGTTGTGAAATCTTCTATGTTATTATTGATTTTTGTCCATATATTTTATCAATAACTGAAAATATTGTGTTAAAATGACCCACTATGAATGTGAATGATTCCATTCATTCATGTAATTCTGTTAAATGTCGCTTTATTTACTTTAAAGCTATATTATTATCTGCATGCAACTTAGGTTCATTATATATTTCTGGTGAGTAAAACCCTTCATTCTATTAGACATATTCTTTACTTCAAATGCTTTTATAATGAAAGATATATTATCAGATATTAATATTGATAAACAATGTCTATTATACTTTGGCTTTCTTTTGGTTAGTCTTTGTATTTTAATCTTTCTCTATCCTCATGTTTTAGGTATATCTTTTATGAACATTATATATTATTTTTAATCTAGTCTGAAATTTTTCCTTTTGATTTGATCATTTCATCTATTTACATTAATATAATGTCTGATGTATTTGGTATACTAAGTGAAGTAAGCCAGAGAAAAACAATTACCATATGATTCCACTCATGTGTGGAATCTACTGAGCAAACTGAACTAGCAAGGAGAACAGAGACACACTGAGACAGAGAGTAGGCTGACAGCTCTGGGGGTACGGAGGGATGGAGGGGGGGGAGAGAGAGAGAGAGAGAGAGAGAGAGAGAGAGAGAGAGAGAGAGAACTCATGGGCACTGGTACTAGGGTAGCAATTTCCGGGGGAAGGGGGGTGGGCAAGGGTGGAAGAGGGTTTGGAGGGATAAATGGAAATGGGAAAAATGCAATAAAAATAATGTCAATAAATAAAGTTAAAAAAAACTATAATGTTACTGTATGTTCTCTATTTGTTCTACCTGTTTTATCTTCCTTGTTTCTGATGTTAACTTGTTTGGATTGGCACTGTGTTTGTCATCCCATTTTTTGCTACTATTAGCTTCCAAGTTATTAATATAAGACCTTTTTAATGGTACATGTGAGATTGCCACATATACTCTTGACTTATTATAATGTAATGTTGATGGGTACTCTTGCCCTTCTCTTGGACAAAGATTCTAGAATACCTTAACTCCATTTACCTGCCTTTGACTTAGGTCTGCAAGACATTTTTACTACTGTTTTATACAGCCAATATTCATTCCATTTTATTCATAAATATACCTTTCTATTGCCCTTCCTTTCTTCCTGCTCCTCTGACCTTCCATCTGTGAACATTTTTATTCTGCCTGAAAAAATATCTCATGATATTTACCTAAGAACAGGTGTGCTGGTGGTGAATCCTTCAAGTTTATGTTCATCTGAAATTGTTTTCATTTCAGTTGCATTCTTTAAGGATGAAAATAAAATTTTAGGTCAGCAGTTATTTTCTTTCATGTATATTTTTTTCCATTTTCTTCTGCTTCCATTATTTCTTGTACAAAGTCAGCCTAATTTTTGTAATGTGCACAAAATACGTCTTCATGCCTCCCCACCCCTGGCTGCTTTTAAGATTTTCTACTCGTCATTTGTTTTTAGCAGTTTAACTGTGATGTGCATAGGTGTGGATTTCTTTTTGTTTATAATATTTATAGTTTGTAGGATTTCTTAATTTGTGCATTGATGTTTTTCATCAGTTTTATAAATTTCTTAGCCATTATTTATTCAATTACCTTTTTCTTTGTATTTTTTCCCTTTTTTCTCCATGCTACATTCTTATTTATCTTTTGTTTGCTACATTCCTAAATATGTTCAAATTTTCATTCTTTAGTTGCTTGAGTTAGTATATAAATACATAATTGATTTTTCTATAATGAGCTTTTATTTAATGACCTTGCAGAATTCATTTATTAATTATAATAGTTTATTTAGAGATTCTTTTGGATTTTTCTATGAATACAAACATGTGTTGTTTGAATGGTGTTACTTCTCCCTTTCCAATGTTTAATTTTTTTTTCCTTGGCTTAACTGTACTGGTGAGAACCTTCAGTGAAATGTTGAATAGCAGTGCTAAGAGCTAGCATCCTTCCTTTTTTCTGATCTCAGGTGAAAGTTTTAAATATTTCTTCCTTAATTATTGTATTTGTTTACTCTTTGTAAACATCCTTTATTCTATTTAAGAAGTTTAAGAAAATGTAGTTTGCTAAGTGTTTATTATAAACACGGTTAAATTCTATCAAGTATTTTGACTGCATCTAAAAAATAATTTTTTTCTTTATTCTGTGTTGAGTTACATTGACTGATTTTCAAATATGTGAACCACCTTGCATTCTTGGAAAACAAACAACTTTTTCATATTGTATATGTACATTTATGTTGATGGATTACATTTGCTAATATTTCATTCGGAATGTTTTGCTTCTACATTAAGAGTAATTGGCCCTTCATTTTCCTTTCTTATAATACCCTTTCCAGGATTTTTGTTTGATTCCTTCAGACATCTGAAGGCACAAACATTCTAGAATCATCTTAATCAATTTCAGGCCTAGAGATGATTCTAAGCTGGCTGTGGTCCATGAGGGCACCAGGCCATTCCCTGCCTGCCTTTTCCCTTGCAGAGACCTTCTGGATGTTGACCTCAAACATGCATTTACCCAGCACCACTGAATTTTTCTCTTTCTCAACTCTGGAAACTTCAAAAAGTGTTACTTAGTTCTGAGCCTGTCAGCTGTCTTTCCTAGAATTTGCAAATCTCACCAAGGAAAAGCAGCTCCCAAAACCATGGTCACATTTAGATTCCCATCTTTTCCCAGGATTATGGTCTTGTAACTTTTCATTGCCTTATGCCTTCAATGTTTTGAAGGAAATTTACAAAACTGTTTTGTTCAGCACTATTAGTTGGCCTTAGCAAAAGATTGACCCAATTTCTTTGTACACCATACCTGGAATCAGATGTCTTTAACTAATTCAGTGATTGCATAAAATAAGGTCCTGATAGTCACTGCTAATCACCAAAATGTTCACTTCACAAGAGCTACCTCTCTCTAGTGTGGTGCTAGGGGCAGTAGAGTCAAACAAAAGTTTGGAAAAATATAATATGCCACTGGTGATATGGATGAATAAGAATTTAAGTCATCTATTGAATAATTTTATTTGGAATGAAACAATTCTCTTAACAGAGAAATCAGTTTCTTCATTGCTGAAGGAGAATTAGCAAAAGTGTTTATAATGCTTAGCTACAGTATTGAAGATTTAGAATTTTTTTAAATTGGAAAAACATTAGATTGAAATTTAAGTAGGCAAAATATAAATAAGATAGGAACTTATTGAAAAATTATGCTACTACTATTAATAATGTCATAAAAATAATCAACTCCTTAACTAATTCCACAGTCATGACTCACAAATGTCCACATTGGCCTGGTGGGTATTGGTTCCTAACCCAGTATTTTGTAGAAAAGGATAGTTAATAGGTCAGATTGAGAGTAATAAGTCACATCCCCCACCTCACTCTCAGCCAGGAAAAATTAGAAAGTTGATACGGCAAATGATCATGTTCAACACAATGCCCCTTTTTTATGTTACCTTATTTTTAAATCTTAAACATGTGCTTCCTTTTAAGATGTTATCTTGGGTAAAAAAAGAGACCTGACAGACTGTACAAATGGAGAGTGTTAAAATAAGCTTCAGACAAACAGCTTGGGGGGACTTTCCACCCGAGGATCCGTAACGCACACGGCTTCTCCTCCATCCCACTGAGGAGCAGAGACAGGCTCTTGCTGAGTAATAAATATATTCACAGATAACATCGCTAAGTCTTTCACAGTCTCAAGAGTGAAAAATGAGGCTTTAAAACAACCTCATGAACAACACAAGAAATATCGAAGTAAAGCAAATAGGATCTTGGAAGTGGAAAATGCAATGACCGAATTCCCAGTGTAGCAGCATGTTGTTACAACAAAAATATTTGAATTTCTACAGAGGTCTAATGCAGTAAGATAAAAGGATCTGTTCCAAGTAGTGACCAATATAGAAAAATCATGCCTTAGAAGGTAACTGAAGAACATATGCTTTAATCTATGCTCTACATGTCTTATCGCCAGTGTCAGTGAATATTTATTGAGTTCTCAGAGAGCATTCAGCCATGCCTGCAAACACTTGCAGTAGAAAGCACAGAGAGGATCCAGGCTTTTTCCCCTAGGACATTTCGTTCAAGACAAGCAAAGTGTACAGCTCATTCTCTTTCTATCGCTTTTATTTTCTTTCTCCAATATGGGATTCTTCATCCTCCAAATGAAGATTAAATTGAGAAGGCTTACATGTGCCTTTGAAGAAATGGAGAAGAAAGTGAGCTTGATGACTATGTATAAAAATGTTGTTCCAACAGTAGGGAATTTAAGGAATTATGAATTGTAGAATGAGAACTAGATGCAGCCATGGGTTATGAAATCGAGCACCAGGGACGCAGGCCAGAACACGCATGGAAAGATAGGCCCCCTCTCTTTCTGCCTTACGCACCAGGCCGTCTCAGTTTGTCTTTTTGTCTATTGACCTAGAAGGTCTGAGAAATATTTCTCTATGTTAAGAAAATCTATCGGCAAGCCCACTGATAAATGGTAGGCAACCCTCATCCTCAGTGTAGGAAGCACACGGAGCACAGTGGCACAGGTGGATCCAGGTTTCGTGGAGTCTAAAACTTATACAACTGTGGAGGCCTCTTTGTGAAAAAAATACAGAATTAGAAATGCAATGTTAGGTGAGGGCCCTTGGAGCAGCAGAGCCCTGACACTTGAGCTCCTGTCCTCCCATCATGTGCTCAGTGTCTTAAGGAAGCAGCCTGTCCTCAGCTCCAGCTGTTACCCAGAGGGAACCCGACCCCAGGGGCCAGGTCTTCCGATACTTTAAAAATAGCCAGATATCTGGATTTTATGGGAAATTTCCCCACTTTTAAAGGTTGACAAAAATTCAAATTAAAAAAAGAGAAACACTTTGTAAGCCCGAGCCTTTGGTCATCACTTTGGCGCCTCTGACAAATGAAGTTATTTAGTAAGTGAGGTCAAAGGAAGAGTGTGGTCCGAATCGCTCAGTGGCGCTCTCAGCAGCACACCCTGCTGAGGCTCACTCGGGAAACGCTGACCCACGTGTGAAATGCCTTAAGCTTAGATGATGATTTGGGTGAGGAGTTTGAAAAGAGGGCACAAACATAAAGAAAATGTTATAACAGGGTGGCAGAAGGAGATGACAGATTGAATGTGGGAAGAGAAAAAAAAACCTACTTCCAGACCCTTTTCTTTGGAAATAGATTGAATTCTGTCCCTTCACAGTGAACGGACAGCTGGGGTGCGGGGTAAGCGTGATCCGCAGACCACCTGGTTCTGGAATACCTGGTGCGCCCACAAGAATGCAGGTGGCGGGGCCCAGCCTCAGAAGTCCTGTGTGAGTCCCTGTGAAGGGGGCCCCGCAATCCACTTTAATAAGCACCAGGTGATTCTTAGACAAAATGGCATTTGAGAAACACGGGGGAGAATCTTTTTTTTTTTTTTAATTTTTTTTTTTTTTTAATCTCACCAACAGCTGTCTACAGAAACGGATACATGTGGAAGCTCCCAGACCTCTAGTTACCAGAACTGGTACTTCTATAGGGTATTAGTCAGTTGGTCTTCAGCCATTTACTGCCTTCTTCATGGCCCACACACTTTTAGTTCCCAATCTGAACGGCTCTCCAAGCTGCCAACAGAGCAAGCCACTAACACTTTAAGAACGCCATCTGCATGAATCGGTCCAGTCCCTGAAGATTTGACCCTCTGACTTCCTCCCTGACATCCTTGCTGACACAACGCCACCTCAGCTGTATTTTATTGACACTTAGCAGCTGAAGTCCTGAAAACCCAGGGTGTGCTTTATGTGAACTACAAAATGCTTACCAAGGGCAATGTTAATACTGCAGCCTTCTTATTCCCACGCTCTTGATGACACTAACCTTGAGTCTAAGGCTTTTGGAAAAAAAAGAAACTTCAGGCGTTTCTGTGCTGCAGGAATAGTGAGGTCCCTGTGTGACCCCCGCCACAGAAACCCCTTCTCCGAAGTATCTCAACTGCTCTGCCCTGTGTGGCCTGGATGTTGAGCCTTTGGTTTAGACTTCCCTAAATTGCACGAATAGTTTGATATCATGTGTATATATATTTTCCTATCAGAATTTTAACTCCTTAAGAGTGGAGATGCCATGTCATTTGATAAGAAGTCAATATCAACCAACTGGGAAAAAAGGCAAGATGTGATTAAGGACTTGGAGGAAGAGAAGACCCTGTGAGATACTGGGAACTGAAAAGCCACATCATCACCTGACAGAGGCAGACACTCGGAGGGGCCTGTCTGGGTCACCGGGGCTCTTTAAATAATGTCAGCCTGAG